AACAGATTAAATATGTGTCAATAGTAACTGTAATTTTAAAAATAAATTGTTAACACAAATGTGGTTTGATCAAGTGAGTATTGATATCTGATCAACATAATTTTTTATAGAGATAAAATATTTAACGAGTCTTACATGTAAATAATATGGCATTTACACACAAGTCCTAATTTTTGAACTTATACTCCATTAAGTCCTAACTAAGATTTTTTGAATCTTCAAGTTCCATTAAATTTTAATAGTCGGAATTGCCCTTCAAATAATAATTGTTCATCATTTATGATTATTATAAAGGAACATGATGATTTGACATTTATTTTGATTTTTAAAACTTTAAAATATCAACTTTCAAATTAAAAAAAATAAAAAAAAAATATGTGCCAAAAAAAAAAACTAATTAGTATGTTTGGTTTCACTTTTTTCTGAATTTAGTTTTTTGAAAATTGATTTTTTTATTTTTTTTTGTATTTTGTTGTTTTAAGTGAATATTTTTAAAATTTCAAGCAATTTTTTTACTTTGTTAGATGTACCTTACTTAGATGTATCTAAATAGTAAAATATTTGTGAATAAATATTTTAATAAATTTATAAATACAAAAAAATACAAAAAATATATTTTCGTAATTTTTTGATACTTTTGGTATTTAGTGAATTTTTTAAAGATTTTTTCACAAATATTATACTATTTAAATGTATTTATGTTAAGTGTATCTAAAATTTTTTAAAAATTGCTTAAAGTATTTTAAAAAATCAGTGAAAACAAAAAAAATATAAAAAACAAAAAAGTAAATTTCTGAAAACTGAAACCAAACAAAGCGAATATTTTTTTTGAAAAATTTGAATTATTTTTTTGTGCAAAATTGAAAATTTTGTATCTATAAAGGAGTATGATGATAAAACATTGTTGTGCAAAAATGAAAAAAAAAATGAAAAATGAAAAAATTGATAATGTTTTTAGTTTTAAAATTGAAAATAACTGATAATGGTCTCTGTTTTATTGGATAGTTGAATCAAACCAATAAATAGAAGAACAAAAAATTTAATCTCGTGCTCTGTTTTTTAATCAGTTAGTGAAACAATTAACTGAAACATTATTATGTAAAATTGATAATATTCTTAGTTTTAAAAATTGAGAAAAACTGATAATATTTTCAATTTTACTAAACAGGATTTATTGGTTTAAAATTTTTTAAATAAGAACTGAACTATTATAACATTTATAAATAAAAATTTTAAACAATTAACTCTTAAACTATCGATATGATTTTGGGATATTTTGGAAAGATAGTTAAAAATTATTTTTTGATTTTTTTAATTTTTTTATGAAAAAAAATAAATTAAAAATTAAGTAGTAACTTTTAATCTATTTATTAAAATAGGCCTTTGTAATAGGTTTATAGAGGCCAACAAGACGTGCTAATTGGATAATCCAACTCGAGATAAAAAAGTAATTCCATTTTTTAGTGTCCTTTTTGATTCCCTCCAAGTTAAAAAATGGACACTAAAAAATAACACGTACAAATTGTCTAAAAAATGGTCCTCCTCCTAAAGGCCAACAAGACGTGCTAATTTGGTGAATGGGAAGTGAGGAGTAGTAGGACCATCATACATACAGTACAGTCTTAGCCAGCAAGAGAAGCTTGCAGCAGCTACGGTCACGTGAACCCGAAGTGGCGCTGTCACGACCGCGGCCCTCACATGAATCCTGCCCACGGCAATCCCCCCGGTCCCGCTCCCCTCGCTCTTTCTTATTTTGATTATCTTTTTTATTTTTTATTTTTTTAAGTTTGCGTAACAATCTATTTGATCTAATTTTTGTTTTAGCTTATAAGACATAAATAATTTAAATAAATTGAACAAATTTAATTATCTACAAGTTATAATTATGTTTCTAATTACTCACTTTTAATTTGAAAATTTAGTTGTATTAAAAAAACCTACTGACAAATTGGTTCTTTATTTTAACAAAAATTATACAAAAATATTCATCCGTTTTATTTGAACTCGTTTGAATCACTTGAATTCTGTAAGTCAGACGACTGGTATAACCCTTATCAATCGTGGTTGTCACTCTTGTTAACTGCAACTGTCACCCTTATTTTCGGATGACCACCGGCCGAATGACTGGCCGAATGACCGACATCCACAAATTAAGATGATTCGGGGGAGCCAAAATTCGGTAGATGTAGCATTACTTGAAATTATATATATGTACCTTTGGTTATGACTTTTGTGTTGTTAGTTATGATGTACTAATTTATTAGTTTTGACACATTATCATGTTGGTTATGATATTATTTTTTGTTATAATTCAAGAATTGTTTAATTATACTTCATATGATATTTGGTTATAACTCAAATTTATTTATTTATTTATGACTCTCATAATATTAAATTATATCATTTTTGTAATAATTAAACTTACAAATAATAAAATTTACATATGATACGCACCCTTTGCAAGGCATATGCCATTGCAAAGACCCTAGGTACACTGGGTGATAAAATAAAGAACTGGTTATGAATTTTTTATTTTAGTGAAAAATAAAAATAAAAAAAATAATATTTTGAATATAAAGTTGAAAGTAAAATTTCTCTAATCATGGTTGATTTGGCAATGTCCTAAGGTCTTGTTTGGAGTATTCTAAAAAAGTCAAAAAGTTAAAAAATTACTATTCTTTTTAAGTCACACCACTTTATTTAAGTCACATTACTTGTCTACCACATCACTTCAAATCCAACCCATACCCAATCTATATTTCAAAAAAAGTCAAAAGTACACTCATTCCAAACTACTCATAAATTAGTACACTTGCTTATTTATTGTAAGCTATCATATTATCTCTATATTTTTTATATATCTTTTTATAAAAAGTTATAACATTACTAAGGGTTCGTTTGGGATGTGGTTGATTTCTTGACTTTTTGACTATTTTAGTCTGGGTTTAAAAAGTTTCGTTTGGGATAAATTTTTTGACTTTGTCTGACTTTTGTGAGATAAAAAATAAATTGATTATGAGTTGAATGTGATATTTTGTCTTATTTAATTAAAAAGTTTATTTTATCCTATTATGATTAAAAAGTTAAAAAATTTGACAGGCCAAACGAAGGGTAAATAAACAAACGCCAAATATCTTAACCACATGTCATCTGGCACTCATCTAATAATGATAATTTTTTATGCATTTTTGTATAAACTAAAAATGCAACAACCATTATGATCTTTAGTCAAGGCCACAGTAAACAAGGCATAATCTCAATTTTAAATAAATATGAAAATTTTATTAAATCTTCTCAAATTATTTTGTGATATTGTCTGTCTAATACTTCGACGGAATGAGAAATTATAACACAAACTAAATGAGTAATTTCCTGTCATTCAATAACTTAGTGGGTATATTTTATTAGTAAATTTTTTAAATAAAATAATTGTTTTTGTCCTTAAATAAAATAATTAGTTAAGATGCTGTGAATATGTTTTTTTTTATTATAAAAAAAATGGTGTTACCTCGTTTGGGAATAAATTATGTTAATAATTTTTTAATATTTTACAAAAAGATGAGTAAAAAAATAGAGAGATTAATATAACAATTTATAATAGGTTTTGAAAAATGTTTGAGGGCCCGAAATCTGTTGGCTCGAATTGGCTCGAAACTTAAAACGACGTCGTTTTGGGTTTCATTTTTTTTCCCTTCTTTTTCTTGCATTCGAATGCAGAGAGAGAGAGAGAGAGAAAAGAGAGAGAAGGAGATCTATGTAGGAAGATTGATGAAGAAAAGAAGAGGGAGGAGGCGAAAGACATGGAAGATCTGTGTGTGTATACACAGATCTGTGTATACACACACAACAGACGGTGGGTCTCTCGCCTCTACTCTCTCTACTTTTTTTTCTTTCTTTCTTTCTTTTCTAGTGGATTTGGATTGATATTTTTTGATGAACAGATTTGTGGATCTGGATTCGAAAATTTTAATTTTTTTTTTTTTGATTGCTGTTGTTGATGAATGTATGATGTTGTAGTTGAAATTTTTTATTTTCAGATTCGAAAAAAAAAAATGTGTTGTTGATGTCTCGACTTTCCCCTATCTGTGTTCATCTTCAAAGAGAGAAAAAGAAAAAAGAAAAAAGAAAAAAGAAAAAAGAAAAAAGGAGGATGATCGTCTGCAATTAGTGGATTGGATCATCTGGATTTGGGTTTGATTTTGGATTTTTGATTTTTGATTTTGGTTTGATCTCTTTCTCTGTGGTGTTGCTAGGTTTGTTTTTGTTTTGGGTTTCAAATTTTGATTTTGCTGCTGGGTTTCTTCCTCTTCTCTTTTCTTCTTCTTCTGGTTCTGCTCTTCTTCTTCTTCTCTTGTTCTGTTTCTTCTTCTTACAGCGAGAAAGAAAAAAAAAAATTAAAACGCAAAACGACGTCGTTTTGGATTTTGAGCCAATTCGAGCATGAATAATTCGAGCTCTGTAACGGGACTAATAAGTTTTTTTATGAAAAATTGAAAGTTACCAAATAACATTATGGGGTGTTTTGAAAAGGTTGTAAAAAGTTGATTTTTGATTTTTTTTCAAGTTTTTTTTGACTTTTTTAGAAAGTGATTTAAGAAGTTGGTAGAAAGTTACTTTTGAATTTTTTAATTAATATTTATTTATGCTATCACATCATAATTAAATGACTAAAATACCTCCACCCAATTTAATAAATTTACAATTTTACCTATATGTGGCTCATTTTGATTCATAAAAAGTATAATTATAATTTTATCAGTAATTTTTTTTTATCTCCCCAAATACTTTTAATGGTAAAAAGCTATTTTAACTTTTTTGGCAAGTTTCAAAAACGGCATTATACCATTATTGATTTTTATTTTTTTATTTTATTATTATTATTATTTTTTTTTTTTCAAATGAAAGGACTATACCATTATTGAATTAGTAATAAATAATGTTTGACTTGGAACAGTGATGGGACCTGTCCTTTCATATGGGCAGCATGTGAGGAGGGCGTCCGGATCCTCTAGGGTGAAAACCCTACAGTCATCTCCTAGAGTGAAAAATCTAACGGCTGACATTGAACCTCACCAAAACGACGTCGTTTTGGTGAGGTTCTTTAAAAAAAAAAAATTCAATCCATGGTCTCCTCTCCTCTCCTCTTCTCTCTCTACCTTTTCTTTTCCATTTTCTTGATCAAGAAAACCATTCAAAATCAACAAATCTCACAAATCCATCTCTAAAAATCAATCTCTGAAAATCAATCCATGTATCAAGACCTCGGCTAGTGGCGGCGGCGGCGTCGGGAAGTTCCGGTACGGCGGTGGCGGGTACAAGCCGCCCATACCACCGCCACCGCCAGATGGCTGCAGTGGAGGGTAGGAGTAGGTGGTGGGCTGAGAGGGAGGCGGCGGAGGGTAGTAGAAGGTGCCGGAGCTGGGAGGGGACGGCGGCGGGGGACAAATGGAGGAGGGAGATGAGTGCGGCGGCGGCGGAGGAGATGGAGACCGCGGGGGAGGAGGGGATGGCGGCGGCGGAGGGGGGAGGAGTGGAGTGTTGCATGGGTTGTCGCAGGCGGAACACATTGTGCATTCGATTTGGTACTTTGAACCAACCCATGAATTTGCGAATGCTTGTGAGAGATTTGTTGATGTTGAGATGATGAGAAGAGAGAGAAATTAGAGTCTGAATCCATGAATTGTTTCCATTTTTGTGATGTGAAATGTATGAGTTTGTGTGGATTGCAGAGAATTGGAGAGAGTTTTTGGAAGATGATGAGGAGAGAGAAGAGTGAGGGAAGAGAAAGGGAGAGAGTAGAGAGATGGGCGAGAGCCATCATCTGTTTTTTTTTTTTTTGAAAAATCCTCAGCCGTCCGATCCCACTTTAGAGGATCACTCTAGAGAATTCACTCTAGAGGATCCGCTCGCGTCAACTCAAACACAATAATTTGAAGCATCGCATCACCAATTATCCAACAAATAAGAACGTATACTCATGCACCAAGGAGGGTTCAAGCTATAAAATTCAGTGGGTTCATTGCTACCTATCATTAATCTTGTGAGAAAAACAGAACGTAATCAAAAGAAGAATGTTGCCGAACTTCTCAATTTTATTCATTGACTGAAAGCAACCTTAAATAGAATATATAAAACAAACTTAGCAAATAATGTGGAACTAATCTTGATCCATAACTAACTGACTTTCAAGATAATAGAATACTCCTAAAACTTAGGACACTACAACTGACTCCCAGAAGAACAGGACAACATAGGCTTATTCAAAGAAATAACAATAATTAAAAAAAACTCGTAACATCCTCCCTTAAACAAATATTAAAAAAAATTAAAATATAAAAAATAAAAAATTCAATTTTCAAAAAGAGAATTTTTTTAAGATTCCTGATATTAATATTTTATAAAATAAAAGAGATACAATATTTTCATAGTAGTTAAAGTCTCTCAATGTTTTTACAGAGAAAATTCGATTCAGAAAAATTTTGCTCAACTTAGAGAAATTTTCCTAAACTTAGAAAATTTCGGTATTGACACAGAGAAATTTCAATTTTCATAGAGAAATTTATCTAATTTCACAAAAAAAAAAAATTAAAATTTCTTTGATATGATCATAGAGAAATTTCAAAATTTCTTTAGTATAATTACAAAGAAATTTCATCGAAAGACCTTAACAAATAAAACAACATATCTCAAACCTCTCATACTACACAATTGAGAATATTTCACTAGAATTGGAGAGAGTTTTTGGAAGATGATGAGGAGAGAGAAGAGTGAGGGAAGAGAAAGGGAGAGAGTAGAGAGATGGGCGAGAGCCATCATCTGTTTTTTTTTTTTTTGAAAAATCCTCAGCCGTCCGATCCCACTTTAGAGGATCACTCTAGAGAATTCACTCTAGAGGATCCGCTCGCGTGAGGAGGAAGCTGAAAAATGGAGTGCAATGCAACCCACGAAGAAGAAGGCACATTGTTTTGATTCAGAGGAACATCTGGTCCCCCTCTTAATCAAGAAAAAGTGTATATTGTTTGGTTTTATTTTTTAAATTTAATTTTTTTAAAATTAAATTTTTACTATATATATATTTTTCATTTTTATTGATTTTTTTAGTGTTTTAAATAAATTTTATATTTTTTAGATGCACCTAACCACTTAAAAAGTAAAAAAATTATAAAAAAAAATGTTTTAAAAAATTAATAAATATATAAAATACGAAAATATATTGAGTTCTTATTTTTTATTTTTAGAATTTTGTAAATTTTTTTAAAAAAAATTCACAAATATTATTATTTTTAATTATATTTATATTAAATGTATTTAAAACTAAAAAAATTACTTAAAATATTAAAAAAAATTAAAATATAAAAAATAAAAAATTCAATTTTCAAAAAGAGAATTTTTTTAAGATCCTTGATATTAATATTTTATAAAATAAAAGAGATACAATATTTTCATAGTAGTTAAAGTCTCTCAATATTTTTACAGAGAAAATTTGATTCAGAAAAATTTTGCTCAACTTAGAGAAATTTGCCTAAACTTAGAAAATTTCGGTATTGACACAAAGAATTTCAATTTTCATAGAGAAATTTATCTGATTTCACAAAAAAAAAATTAAAATTTCTTTGATATGATCATAGAGAAATTTCAAAATTTCTTTAGTATGATTACAAAGAAATTTTATCAAAAGACCTTAACAAATAAAACAATATATCTTAAACCTCTCTTTACTACACAATTGAGAATATTTCACTAATTTTCCCTTTCAAAAATTCAATCCAGAAAATTATACATTATCCTCCTCCAACATAAGGAAAGCCAATTTCCCAAGGAAATGAAAGGCCTCTACCTCCTGCAAAAAGTTAAAACCCGACTCTCTGCTTGCCTTGTTCTCTCTAAATGACTCTCTTATTCACCTCCTTAACTTGCAGGCCATTTACAGCTTTAATGGTTTCCTCTCTCTCTCTCTCTCTCCCGGCGAAGAAGAACTTTTTTCTCTAGATTGTCTCTAATGTTGTGTTTAGTTAGAGATTTGAGGAGGAATTTGGAAAGGGAAAGGGATAAAGAAAAGGTGTGTGAAACTATGTGAAATTTAGGTATATTTTATTTATATTTCATCTACTTTGTCTCTTTTACTTTTCAAATCCATCCTCAAATCCTCTAACCAAATACAGCATAAATCTACTAATATTTTTTAACTAGGAATTCAATTTATTCCAGTATTTAAACCGAATTCTAGATGGTAAAGGCGAAAGAAGTGATAAATAGGCTCGAACTTTTAGTTTCGGAAAATTCAAAATTTTTTGAAGAAAACTCGAATTCTCTAGAAATGATGAGAGGCTTAGATTCTTCAACGGTCCCAATTGGAAACAAAATAGCAAAGAGATGATAGAGATAAGAAATTGGGTGAAAAATAAGGCAAAATAGTTAAAGAGAGAATAATGGCAAGGCTCTCCTATGGATCTCTCACTTTCACTCTCAAGGTAGATAATGGAGAAGGGAAATTAGTTCTTTTCCAAAAGTTGTCTCTCCAAAATCCATCCATTGTAAAGTTATGGATGGGTGCTATTTACAGGCACCTCATGATGTAGGATGGAGCCCATGTGTAAGGAACATGGGGAATATTCTCTCTAACCACCTTATTCGCGGAAGTGACCTCTCCGAGGATAAGGAAAACCCTGAAGAGAAGATCAACCTCTCGGCGAACTCTTCTTCTTAGCCACACCTAACCAATGATCCCCAATCATCACAAAGGATCGGGGGTAGTTCTAGAGGACCCTCTGCCGCTAAATATTGCCGAGTCTCATGGACACTTTGGAGTTGTGCCACCTTGACCTGGATATAAGCTAAATTAACTGATGAGTGAATTCATCTCCACCTCTCGTCCTCGGGATTCGGGCCCTTTGCTCGGGCTCTAACCTCACTTATGATTCTGGTGGGTTGATGTCAAAATGCTCCAAGTCCGCAAATGTTTTGGGACTTACCAATAGAGCAGCCTCTAGATTGTAAATCGAATCTGTTCAAAGCCCGAGTGCCTCAGATCTCTAGGCTTGTTCAATACCCTTTCGAGTCCGAGCCCGAGTAAGTCTCTAAGTTCGTGGACCTGAACCCTTTCGAGGCTTAGAGCAATTCGGCCCGTTTAATGGCGATAAATCCGGGCCCACCAATCTTGGACTTTTTGATTGGGGTTAATTAATTTAGTTGGCTCAAATTAACTCCTCTTACATTTGCCCCTTGCATGTATGAGAAAATTTGAATTTCTTGAACATGCATATTGTTACCTCTTCAGCCCTGTTTCGCATCACGTCCTTGGGAATATTTTGTCTTGACAGAGCCTATGGATAAAGTTGATGACTCATCATAATTGATGGATAAAATTGACAATTAATAAAAAAAAAATTCCACTCTTTTTTTTTTTCCAACCCACTGATTTTTTTTAGAACATCTAAAAATATATATGTATATATTTTTCACTCCAAGCAAAAATAAAACACCCATTATCATTCATTTTTTTTTTCTTGAATAGATAAAGCCCATATTTTTTTTTGAAACCAAACCTGCTTTTGCTTTTCCTTCAATAAACTTCAAACAAATCTTCAGATCCACATATTCTCCAGAATATTCGGAGGCTATTATATATATATACACCCTTAGCACACTTGAGGGACCATCAGAATCATCATTTTCTTTTAGATTTTTTTTTTCTTTTGTGGATAAGAACAAAAACCCTAATCTTTTTCTTTATCGTTTTTTGATACAGCCATTTCGGTTCTCTCTCTCTATAGAGGCCACCAAGCTCTCTTCTTCTTTCACAAACCAGAGCTTATATCCTACGTTGAAGACCACCACTGTTTGCACACTTGTCGTCGTTGCAGCTCTAGGCACCACCGCTGACTTGCCCCCGCTCCGACTGTTGTGGACGTCGCGACTTCAACTGCTGGTGCTGCTCTTTATCTTAGCGACATAACTCCTCCGAGATCCAGACGCACCAGAGCTCGGTTCTTCTTACCAGCGTCAACCCCGCCATGTACACACTTGCTGCCGTTGCAGCTCCAAGCACTTTCTCGGACCTATCCATCGCCGACCACTGTCACTACAAATGTAGATACCATTGGCTTTGTAACGTAGGTAACCACCAGCTCACGCTTACTGGTTCCAGCAGGTGACTAGCCAACGTCGACTATGTCGCTGCCTCAATGCAGCATGGGTCTGCGCGGTCTATCGCGGCACTGTCGTGCGACCACTCAACTCACACGACTTATGTGTCTTATGTCCAGTACCTTTAACATTGCTGCTCTCTGTTAGCTATGCCTCGTGTCCAGTATTCTTCTCACTCACTGCTTGCGCAGACTATATGCGCCATCACTGACCTGTCTCGGCTGTCTTTGGCTAATTCTATCAATCTTGGTCTTCATTACTTCAACCCAAATCATGACTAAGTCTTGCCTCGCACATCCAATTTGTGGGTAAACTCTTTGAATTTTCTCTTTTTAAATTTTGGTGAAAACTTTTTTCCGAACATGGGGCTCTCATTTCCCTTTCTTCGGTGCTACGCTTTAGGGTTAAGCGAGGGGATTTTCCTTGCTGCTATCCCCAGTTCAAGGCTTTCTCCAACCCTTCATTTGGTTGGCAGGAATGGGTCGATAATGTCCTCAGAAAGGGGCTTCTGTCAGAGGCTTCAGGTGGCTCGGATATTGATTCTAGTGAAGATATCTTGATCTTTATCTATTCAAAGCAACAATGCTAGCCTTGAAACAATGGCTCTCCGGTGAAGCACCGAGACACACACTTTCATACTTGGCCAGCATGAGATGGGGCCCACCCTCAAGGATGTGTTCATGTTGCTGTGCCTAGAAGTGATTAGTCCTAAGGCCTTTTGCTCTTAGTGGATACCCCCTGAGGATGATTCTCTAATCC